ATGTATAATGGTAAGCAGATAATATTCTAGGAATTTGAATGATTATATTTTAACTGATTATTTTTAGGTAATAATAAAAATTCATAAAGAAGATGAACCCCTGGATGCCCCTCTACTCGCACATCCACGCTTTTATTGTCTGGAACATAAGTGTTATATTATTTTGGGCGGATTAGGTGGTTTTGGTTTAGAATTAGCAAATTGGTTAATTCTTCGTGGTGCAAAAAATTTAGTATTGACCTCACGAACCGGGATAAGAAATGGTTACCAACAATCAAGAGTAAAGTTGTGGCAATCTGATGGTGTGAATATACAGATTGTTACAATCGATGATACTTCAAAACATGAGGATTGTGAATCTATATTAAAATTAGCTGAAGCAAGAGCACCAGTCGACGCTATATTTAATCTTGCAGTTGTGCTAAAAGATTGCGTATTTCAAAATCAGTCACAACAAACATTTGAGGATTCGTTCAAGTCGAAAGCTTGGATGACAAAAACAATGGATGAGTTGTCGAGGATAATCTGCCCACAACTTCAATATTTTGTTGTTTTCTCTTCCGTTTCATGTGGAAGAGGAAACGCAGGTCAAACAAATTATGGGATGGCTAACTCCATAATGGAGAGAATCTGTGAAAAAAGGATGAAAGAAGGATTACACGGTTTAGCAATACAATGGGGTGCTATTGGTGATGTTGGACTTGTTGCAGATATGCAAGAAGACAATAAAGAGCTTGTTATTGGAGGTACATTGCAACAACAAATATCCTCTTGTTTAGAAACATTAGAGATATTTTTATTACAAAATCGACCTGTTGTAAGCAGCATGGTTGTTGCTGAAAAAGCAAGTATTGGCGGATCAATGAATGTTTATGAAACAGTTGCTCATATTATGGGTATGTAATTTTATAATTAGCTAATATATAATTTAATATAAATATCTAACATAAGTATTTACTTTAAATAGTTATAAATCCTTATACATCGAGGTTAGTCCCTGTGTGTGAGATACCGAATTCATTTTTTGTAATTGTCGAAAATCTATAATATAGGCACGATGAAAAAATATAATAGCTCATTTCGAAGGGAA